CTGAAGGAGTATGACGGGCTTTCTGGCCGGTCGCCTGTGCCCTTCCGCATCAAGCTTGTCCCTCGCCACGAAAACGTCGCTAAAGTGCTTGGGTTGTGAATGATAGCGAGTGGAGCAACTTGAAAGAATGTAAAACATACTGAATAGCCGCTGATAGACCGATGGATTCACGATTGCGCTGTTAATACCATTACTGCACTAGAATAGATGTTACCATTTTGATGCTCACAGAGAGTGCCACCTAGAAGTTTGTTGGAACGTAGCACAGAGATTTTCAAGACACCCATCGCATTTCCCGCTGACATATACAACTTCTGTGAACGTCACCGTCATCCCAGTATTTGGTCATGTTATGCCAACGACGCAAAAAAAATCATACAAATTCAACCGTGCAAATTTTCTCAGTATCTGCTTCTGTACAGTGCTCCAAATATAGGAACCAGGAGTTTCGGGTAAGACGAAAGATAACAGGAGCAATCTCATGTAGAATGTGGCCGACTTGTGGAAGGGAGGCTCGAGCAAATGCCAAATTATCAGCGATATGGCTTATTCACACATGTAGCCAGGGCTTCAGCCGACAGCTTTGGAAAGAGTAATGTGAATACACCACTCCTAGATGATGCATACACTCACCTTCGGATGTTGGATCATACTGAGTCGAGCAATATCGCGCTCGGAATAGCTCTCCAAGGGACGTGTCAACCTGCTGTGCAGCTCGCTGATCTCCTTCTGACACCACCTTCCACCACCAAAATTCCCCTTTAAACGGCAGTGCATCCCAATTCTGGCGTCGTTCCCTTACCCCAAATCCGACAGATACGAGGCGCAGCGTTGGAATCTGTGCTATCAAGATATTCGCCAAACCCCTTGCGATGCTAAGACTCGGTGAAAGTGCCAACCGGAAGTCACGCGGTCCGTCGATAGTCATAAACTCTTGGAAACGAGAGTCGACGCAGATTTGGACATGTGTCAGGCTCTTCAGCGAGGCAAATACCGGCGCGAGTGCGTCCTATACCAACCTGTGAGCGAGCGGACGGTGATCAGATTATAGCACGTACGATCAGCGTCCGAAGCTGGGACCCAAAGTCTTTCTTGGTTTGACTCTCGCACAATTCCACCTCGATGCAGCGCAGACGGGGTGCAGATTTTACAAGACTAGTCCAAAATGTGTTCACCAGCTTCTGGTACGCCATCACGCTCAGAGTGATCACGCGCGGCGACGCGTTATGCGCCACATCCAGCGTGTTTGCCAAGTCCGCATCAGAATAGCGTCCTGGCCCGCCTAGTGAGAGCTCTGCGGGGATAGCGAGGACCAAGTGGACAGAGAGATAGTGAACTGGGAATGTGATATGCCAGTGCTCGAAAAACTTGGCGTGCACTTCCAGGTAATCGAGACTCCGCCACCCCGCCGTTGACTGGTTGTCCTTGATATTCTGGATGAAACGGCCGCGCAGATGGAGCGCGCGCACGTTGGGAAATGCGGCGACAAGAAACTCAATCGACGCTTCGCAGGGCGACACGAACAATTGACGCACGGAGGGCCATTCAAGCAGCGCGTTGTGTACGTGAAGGCGGCTAGGTGCCCGCCTGAGCAGCTCTAGCTCAAGGTGCTCGACATGCTGGAAAACCTTGAGTTGGCCAAGCAAGTCTGCAAAAGTGATGATTGTCGACCGGGTCGAGAAACTAAGAGATATAGGATCGCTCCGCAGTTTCTGGAGCATATGAAATGACATGTCTCCTAGTTGGAACAGTTGCAGCTGGCGCAGGCCAGAAAGGGCTGCCAGTGCCGTGCCGACACGAAATTCGTACTGGAGTAGCAACTCAAGCGGATCGACAGAAAGATTGACCAAGGAAGTAGCTTGTGCGAGGATAGATGCGATATGTTGTGACGACTGTTGAATTTCATCGGTAGAATTCACTGAGAGCTTGCGTAGCCATTGCAATCTGGCGTCGTGCCCCGCCAAGATGAACGCACGAAACTTGGATAGCCTACGTAAGCCGTGGATGGAAACATTGGAAAGGGCATGCCGTCTGCTGATATCGCAAAGCCTACGGGCCGTGAGCGAGAACGTGAGTGCATCGTGGGTGGATAGATGGGAAACGATGTCGAAGAGCACGTCTTGATTGAGATCAAAGAGACCCATGGACACAGACGACGAATTCGACAGCTGGTCGGAAACGAAATAAAAAATCAACAATGCATCAGCAACTTGGATATGCGCACCTTTGCTTTAGACATGGACGACGAGTGAGCATAAGACCTGCGCTAGCGCTTACCATGTTCTGCAGAACTTGATCCGCAGCGTGGCCTGCGCTAATCGTATTGATCGTTAGTTTACCATTCTTTAAACGAGAGTGACAGAATGATGGGTTGTTGAGAGGGTATGGACAGACCAAATCCTATGCCGATCGACTCGTGAGGAGAGGCCGGGTTATGACTAGTCTCCCAGGTATACCAAACTTGGCAAGTCGTTTCGGCGCGGTGGACAAGATCATTCGTTACAACTTCGAACCTGAAGCCTTATTCCACAAGTTAAATATTCATGAGACTTGAAAGTTTCACCACTTTCAGACCCAGTCTCGAAGACGATAGCTCAATGTGATGACAGTATGCATATCATAACTAATTTATTCGCATTGCGATCGGCCATGGGATCACATGTCCATGGCTGCATCAAGAATGTTGTCTTTGAGGTCCACGCCATCTTCCAGCATAAAGGTCTCATTGACTACTTGATCTTCAATTTCTGGCATTTCTTCTTTGAAGAATGACCTGTCTGTAACCACGGCGTGAAAGACGAGGACGCGCGCCCGCGGACACGAGGGCCTGCGGCACGCGGAGGGGGCACGCGCGCAGCACGGCGCAGGGGCAGGCGGAATAAGTACGCGGGGACGGTGCGCGTCCCGCACAGGGCACCACTACCATCACCACCACCACCAGTGCCTGCTCAGCTACTCACCACCACGCCGAGCGGGTCCTAGTCGGACACGGCACCGGCGACACCGAGGCAGATACTGACGCCAACACGAGCACGAGCACGAGCACGAGCACGAGCACGAGCACCGATACCAATACCAAAACAGACACAGACACAGACACGCACACGCACGGACATGTCGAGCGACGGGGCGGCGGGGGGCGCGGCGAGCCGGGCGGAGCACTCGAGCCCGCCGAGCGCGATCTCGACGACGGACGACAGCCTGCGGTACTGGACGCCCGCGGACACGAGCGCGGACCTGAGCTTCAGCTTCGGCGCCGGAGCGGGCGTGTCGCCTGGCGCGGTGGGCGCGGGGGCGCGGGGCAGTGAAGGCGCAGGCGGGAGCGGAGGGGAAGCGGGTGAGGAGGAGGAAGAAGAAGAGGAGGAGGAGGAGGACAATGACGATGACGACGAGGAAGAGCACGGAGAGGACACCCGGGCCGAGGCGGGGTCGTGGGGCGGGGCGACGGCGCGGAACACGCCGGACGGGCACGGGCACGAGGCGGGGCGGCGGAGCGGGGGCGAGGGCAAGGGCGAGGGCGGGGCGAAATCGGAGGCGGTGCCGTACGAGGTCGAGGCGTTCGCCGCGGCGGAGGTGGGGCTGCTGCTGGACGGGAAGGCGCAGCCCGGGGAGGGCGCGGGCGCGAGCGGGACCAGCACGGGGGTCTCGGAGGGCGGGGCAGACAAAGCCGAGATGGAGCACGGCGGGCGGATGAAGCTCGAGGCAAACGTGGACTCGCCCGTGCGGCGGGGGCGGCGACGGCAGGTGGCGGACCGGATCCGCCATTTGTGCTGCTTTGGTGGTGGTGGGTTCGGACCTTGAGCGGGGAGCGGGGTGCAGGCAGCGTGTTAGTGGTGGGGGGCCTCGTTAGTGAAATATGACCATTGATTGCGTGCGTGCGTGCAGGGTTGGTGGTGGCACAATGGCGGAAGGCGAGCAGAGGGACCTCGAGGCGGAAGCGGGTTGGCAGAGTGGCAAGAACGGAAGAAGACGAGACATATCCGCCCCGGGCGCTGTGTGGTGGCACCGCCTTTGTTCGGATGCGCGAGCTTAATGGACAGGCCGCTATCCGAGGCTCTCACGACAAGCTGGACGGTGCCGTCCGTCTGTGCAAGTCCGCTATCAGAAGGCAGCAATGGCGCGCTGCCCGGGCCACTATCGGCATCTGAGCGAATCGACGGGCACACGCACCAAAGGCCATCAGATGCCGACGAGTCCACGGGTCGCGCGTTGTGGGCAGCCTGCAGGGGCACTACCCCAGCCGATGGGCAGTGTCCGCGAGAGGGCAGGCAGGTCACCTGCGCCGTCGACGAAGCCACGAAGCGGCGAACTGCACGTCCCAGCGTTGCGTAATTTGTAGTCCGAGTGGAGCTGCGCGGCGACGCCCATCGATAGCGGACGGATGCACGCGTCCGTCGAGCTTGCCGCCGCCGTCGCCGTTGTCGTCGTCGTCGCAAGCAAACAACGTCCGTCCGCTGGGACGGCGACCAGCGAGCGCTGAGCGCTGACGTCGTCATCGATCCATCTCCGGGCCGCCCATTGCCGCCGCCATCCTCTCGAGCTGCGCCTCCTCCGAGGCCGGTGCCCCCCGCCCGGGGTGCAGCCATTGGGCTCGTTCACCATTTCGCGCCGACAAGGGGGGACGCGGCGGCTGGTGCAGGGACGGCGAGACCGGCGTAGCCTCCCTGGCGCAGGGACGCAGCGAGAGGCGGCTTACCGTCAGCACGCGGTGCATGGCGGCCGATGAGGAGAGTGCGCGCGCTGGAGGGCTTGCCATTGTGGTGCCCTGGCACTAGCACTAGCTGCCAGTGGGGGGAGGCGCGTTGCCCGACGAAGCCGCCACGTTGCGAGGACGTCGATGCGTGCGGGTGGAGCACCAAAGACGTCTCCCGGCCGCGTGCCATCGATAGCCGCCCAGGCGGAAGGCGGACGCAGAAGCCCCTCCCCTCGGACCCCCGCCCCGGCCTCCGGTCCGTCGCGCGCCTACTCAAACCCCAGCGGAAACAGATCCACTCGCCACTCGCACCTGCTACTTGTTCCATCTCGTTGTACACCCTCCCAACCGTCCTTGTCGATTAGCGGTTAAATCACCACGTTGTGGGCATCGCAATCCGTGGAGCCGGAAGTTCGAATCCTCCCTGGGACATCATATCTTTTTCTCCTCGTCTCTTGAGGTATGTCCCGTATGTGTTGGAATTTCTCCTGTGGGCAATAGTTCTCAACGACGAGGACAGACAATGAATGTGGACGACGCACGCACGGTTCGCTGGCGCGATTGGCAATGTACACGATTCCCGGTATCATGCGGCCGCACGAGTCAAAGAGTCAGCTAGTGTCGTGTATGGTCGTCGCCAACCCATCTGCTTTGGGCGGCGAGCGCGCGGTGCGAGAAAACAAGCCCGGGCTGTTCGGAGATGAGGGTAGTGCTGCCAGTGCCAGCGTGAGCCCTTTTCCTACGCTGTTCCTGTAGGTAGTTGGCGTAGACACCTCGTCGGGCATAATGTTTCTGTGCGCCTCCGAGCCACAGGTCCGATACCACACGGCCGATGCTAATGAGCGAAATTGGATGATTGAATTGGGTTGAGCAATGCACGAGCAAGCAAGACTGCCAGTAGCGCACCCGCTGTGTGAGGCGGCTTCGGGCGTCGCTCGTGGTCACATAACGGGCTCGTTGGCCTGGACGAATTACCGTATGCGTGCTGGGCTGGGGCGGCCGTAGACCAGGATGCGACATGCACCAGTAGTTAGTCGAGTCCTGCGAAGAGCGCGGTGTGGCTCATCCCGGATCCCGACGAGAGGGCGGGCGCGCGCCGATCGACGATGACGTACCCTGCAGCACCCGCCGCCCGGGCGACGGCAGAGCGCCTCGACACACCTCGTCCCTGTTTTCCTGCGGCGAATGTTCTTAGGGCGACCCGATGGCCACAAGGAGATATAAAGCTGCTGCTCACCTCCTCCCTCCCCCAACGCCGTCCCCGCTCCGGACGAGATCCCTGCTGGCTTCCGGCAGCCCAGACGTCGCACACTTGGCCAAGGGCTCTGCGCTTCGCGTGCGGACAGGCCTGGATCCGCCCCCTCGTGGCCCCGTCTTTGAGCCAGCCGTGATCGTGATGAGACGAGCGTTTGCAGGGCCTTGCACGGGGGACGTTCGCCCTGCGCGGGCGCTGTGAACGCAAGGGAGGCCCAGGCCCTCGACCGCCGGGTCTGCGGGCACCCGCGGAGGAGGGCAGTGAGGATCTGTGCGCACGACGGGCAAAGGTGGGTGGGGAGTCGTACCACGCGGCGGATTAGACTCGCTGCGTGCGTGCGGTCTGGGCCGCGAAGACAGAAGCCAGTGCGAGCGGGAGACGACTGGCCCTACAAACTGGCCGAGGCCGCGCGGTCGGGCAGGGCGGCGCGCACTGCCAGGGCGTGCGGGGCCCGGGAGCACGTCCGGAGGCAGACGCCGACAGAGGTCCTGTGAGCGCGCTCGTCCTGGGGTGGAACCTGGAATTTGGCGGGGGACGGGGGGACGAACCGGGGCGTGTGCGGGCGGCAGGTGGGGTACCAGGCGGTGTGTACGCATGCGGCCTCTGAGAGACGCAGGGAGGGCGAGGGCGACGATGGGGACGAGGAGGGCTGGCAGTCGGGAGAGTGGCTGCGCTCGGAGCCGACAGCAGAGAGATCTGGTCGATCTGGAGGAGCTCTCGGTGTGCCTGGGCGGACAACGGCGAGGGCAGAGAGCACTCACGGGGGCG